AATTCAAGCCTTCAACTCCCTCTCTAGTCTTATCAACAAGAAGAATATCATCACTAAAAAACATACACTAGGGAATCCTCTGGTAAATGTCTAGTAAGATATCCATGAATAAAGCAAAAAGATATAGGCTTAAAGATGATCCTTGATGTAATCCAATTGAAATAGGAAAATACTTGGTCAAACCATCTTATATTTGAAGACAAGGAACAACTCTTACATGCATATCTTTAATGACTTGAATATAAGTATTATTAATTCCTTTTTTTTAACTCTACAGAGCACTTCTCTTGGAACTTTATCATATGTTCTCTTTAAATCAATAAATTTCATAAGTAGATCATCTTTATTTTCTATATACATCTCTATTAAACCTCTCAATAAATGTATAGGATCTATAATAGACCTACCTGGCATGAATCCAAATTGCTTTTGAGAAACATTAGTATCACATCATAACTTATGCTATATAACTCTTTCCCATAGTTTTAAAGTATGACACATTAACTTAATTCCTCTATAATTCACTCTTGTGTATTACTTTTATTCTTAAAAATAAGAATCAACACTTCATTTATCTGACATCTTTTTAGTCTTCAAAATAATATTGAAAGGTTTTTTAATTCAAAAAATTACTTTAATCTCTTAAGCATTTCCACATATCTATTGGAATATCATTTTGTCCAACCACTTTTTTATTCCTGATGTTCTTTAAGGCCTCTTTAATTTTTATTTTACTAATACAACGATAAAACAAAAATTTTTTTTAGGGTGCTAAGGTCGCCAGAGTAAATCAAATTTTAACAAACTTCATTGAAAAATTTATCAAAATATTTCATTAATCGTTGTTGAATATCCTCTTCTAATTAAAATATTTTTTTATTTTCATTCTTAATGCACTTTACTTGAACTAATTCTTTACTTCTCTTATCTCTTTTCTTTGCTAATTTATATACATATTTTGCCCTATCTAATTTATTATGTAAATCGTTTAAAGATAAATTCGTTGCTTCTCATAGTGCTTTCTCATGCTACTTACGGGCTCGTTTATTTCTTTCCCAAAATTTTGAGCTTTACCTTTAAATCAATTTTTATAATAAAACTTCTTATTTTTTATATTTTATTGCATATTTTGATTTCACAATTAACTAATTTTACTATTAGGAGTTTTTTCTTTTGATGCTCTAAGTACATCTGTTGCAACATTCTTAATATCAATATTTATTTTTTCTCATATAACATTAGATTCCTCATGCACAATCAAAATCATAAGACCTTAAATCTCACTCTTAAAAATATTTTTCTTAGTTTTCTTTAAATGTCCATCTAATTCTAGGATAATATTTTACTTTAGTTTTCACCTATCATTTAAAGTTCAAAATTAATAAGCGATGTTTGGTATATAAACTTTTTCTTAAAATAATAGTATAATCTCTTTAATCTAAATGATCTTTTTTTCTTATGAGAAAATAATCAGTCTAAGTTTTATTATATCCATTCTTATAAATGGGAATACTCCTATCTTTTTTTAAATAAGATATTAGCAATTACAAAATTATAAGCTAGAGAAAAATTTAACATAGTCCTATCAGCTTTATCAGTCGCTTTAAAGCTATAGCCACCATAAGTATTTTTAAAATCTTTTGCCACTCTAGCAACATATCTATTTAAATCTCCTTTAATAAAAATCCTTTTTTCAAAAGGTATCATTTATATCAATACTTCTAAACCATTCCAAAGTTTTAATTTAGAACATATATCCAATTCTACATAAAAACTTATAATATTACTAATCTTAGCTTCAACGATAATATTTAAAGATATAATTTTTTCTCCAATTCTATTTATTTCTACGATATTATCCTTCAAATTTTTATTTATAATCACACTTACCCTATTTCTAGTACGACTCTTAGCTGAATATCATAGTTTAAATCATAAATTATCAATCTCCTTAGTCTTCTCTCTAACCTATTTAGTTTTTTTAATGCATAGAATATTTATCTTCATATGAATTATAATATTTATTAATTAATTAATTTTTATAATATTAATAATTTTAGCATCACAAATAATCTTTAAACCTATAATTTTATCTCTAATTCTATTGATTTCGACGACATTATCCTTCAAACTCTTATCTGTAATCACACCTATACCATTTCTAGTACGACTTTTACCTGAATATCATAGTTTAAATCCTAAACTATCAATCCCTTAGCTTTCTCTCTAAATCATATAGTTTTCTGAATGCATAGAATATTTATATGTCTTTGAATCATAATATCTATTAATTCTATTAATTTGCTTGTAAAGAACTTGTATTCCAAGTGTTTATTTTTATTTCTACTTTCATGGACTAGCTTATTTGTCCACATCCATCTATGATATAGAAACCCTTGCTTATTTAACATTGCACATGGGTGTCAATGCAGTGTTCCTTGCACACTTCTCATTGTATTTATGTTATATAGCGTATCGCTTTTAGGTAACGCTCTAGCATTTTCACAATGTGTTAAGGGGTTCATGTCATAATTATTCAACAAATTATTTGCTGGCTATTGTGTAACTAATGAAACCCTCAATTTTTTTCATCCACGGCTTGGGACCTGGCAACGACAATGTTTTTTCTTATGTAATACAAGGTAGAAAAAAAATGTAAAAGCTTACAAAAAGTTTAAATAAAGCAAGGGTTCTTTAGTAATTGTGATGGGGACATCGGAGCTTGGAAAGTTTATTAGAGGCGCGGCCGCCGATCTACGGCTACGATTACACCAATATATTTTTAAGTCATCATACGTATTTTTTTTTTATTTATTTATGTTTGTATTTGATTTTAGTTATTTTCCCCTTTTACCCCTTAAGGTGGTCATATGTAAGCCCAAAGGGCATTATCGTCTTTTTGTTTTTGAGTCCATTGTATGAGGCTATATATAACCCTTATGTTCTCTTTTCATATTTAATGAATGAATGATAAAATTTTTTTCGTGTTTGAGTTCTTGTTAGAGCTTGAGAGAAATTGGAGAGAGATCCCTTGGAGAGGGAATCAGATCACCCACCAACCTTGGAAGAGTCCGGATTCGTGGTTAGTTTATCATTTTGTGTTTCTACATTTTTTTCCTTTGTTCTTCCACTAATCCACCGCCCACCAAGCCCCACCGCCGGATCCCCAAGCTTTTCCCCTCCACACCCGCCGGCTTCATCCCACCACCACCTCCCCAATCAACCCCTTCTCCCCACCTAGCCGCCGCCCCCTCATCAAACACCATAGCCTAGCCGCCGGTTTCCCCTATCCCTCCCTTGCCTCCAATTTCCACTTGAATACTTTCCTTTCTTGCTTAGCTCCTCTTGGAAAAGTTATTTACTTTCAATCAATTAATTCAAATTTGAAATTAAATAGAATCCTATTTTAGAAAAGTTTCTAAAATCAAATTCAAAATTAATTTAATTTGGATTGGACATTAAATCCTATATCCTAATTAATGAATCCCAATGAGGAAAGCATTAAACCTCATTTAATCCCTCCATTCCCCTCTTGGTTCTTTATGGAATTAATTCCAATGCAAGCCTCTCTGTCTTGGAAACAATTCAAACCCCATCTCTCTCTCTCTCTCTCTCTCCATTAATTCCCCTTTTCTTTTCTTGGAATTAAATTTAAATTCCACTACCCAAATCCCTCCAATTTTAAAATCTGAGAATTGACTTCAGATTTTAAATTTCTTTCCCTCTCAAACATAAACCCTCATAACAATGTTTGGTCCTCCTAGTCTTGATCTAACCCCTTGCTCACCTTCTCTCTCAAATCATCTTCAAGTCTCTTGAGCTTGCTCTCTCTCAAGACTAGGAAGATCATAAACCATCCATCTACCTCTCTTTCCACACATGAATGGCCGATTCTGAACTTAATTTCGGATTTGTCTATAACGAGCAAGGGAACGTCGATATCCTCCGGTCAACATTCTTCGACGTCAACCTAGAAGTTGACAACTCTGTTGAAGAATACTTGGATCACATTATCTTCACATTATCCGAAGCCATCAAAGAACATTACGGTCATCAACAAGGGTGAACTTCTTCCCCTTTTCATTTATCTTCTTAACCCACTAATCTTGTAGGTGGTGATCCAAACGCAAGGAATCGTGCCTTGCTCTCTGTCCTCACTTAGTAAACTTAGGATTTTAGTTCTTACTTTTTATATTGCTTATCTCAATATTAGATTAGGGATTTTGTTGAATAACTACTTATTTTGCATCATGTTGAAATTCTAATTTACTTGGATGATTCTAGTTATTAGCATGTGATTTGGCCTAAAAGTAGGCACCCCTCTTTAGTTTTCTATGATCGTTTAGTGGCTAACAGTCTTAATTATTTTTTTTGTTTTTATTCAAACATGCAAGTTCTTGTCACATTCTTTTAAATCATATTTAGTCCTGCATCAAATTGGCATACAGCTCTTTGGCATACTTGGTTCTTTAGTAGATGGCATGGTGGTCAAAGGAAAGTCGGAGGATGAAGTAGGTGCCAGAGACCACTGATCTAGTATAAAACAATAATTTTGTCTTTTGCTTATCCTTATATAGTTATTTTTAGTTGTTGACCTATTACATGATAGGTAGTTTATTAGGCTTAAAAAACAAAGTTGATGATTTTAATTACCACCTGTCACAACAGCAATATGGTTTACCCTTGGCACCATAAAAGGAATTGGCATATAAACAAAACCTTGCCTGTGCTTTTGTTCTAGTGGTCTATAAGTATTTTCATATAACTTTTTATGTTACTAGGAAGAATGCACACCCTACGTCTCAGTTTGTTTTAGAGATGATTTAGAATAATAAGATGCTACTATAGTGAACTTGTTTTTCATGCTCATAACATTTTATAATCAGTATTTTATTATTTTCTGTTGTTTCCAGATTGTTCTACTGTAATTTAGCAAGATTTGTTTTATTTTTATTTCTTGGTGAATGGCACAATTTGGTAACCTTTACTATGCTTTCCAGAATCATGTTAATAAGGCAGGTGAGGAAACATGGACCCATGTGGCATCTGATTTTTCCAAATTTGCTCACCTTTTTCAAGAAGAAAGTGAAGGTCAGATTATTGCTATCCACTTTTCATAACAGCGTGATTTTGACTTCTTTAAATATAAACTTAGCGTCCATTGCTTTAATGTCTTTGCAGAGAGTATGCCTACTGAAGATAAATCTTCCAGGGACTTACTTTCCTTATTTGTCAATAATGATAATTTTGGTTCACAAGTTTATATTTCATCAAATGATGAAGCCGCTGAAAAGAATCAATCTGGCCTGCCTTCTGAAAATGCAACAGTTCACCTCAGTTCTCCTGCACCTTGCCCAATAACTGGAACGCTTTTGGAGTCCTACCAAGGTGACGAGCAAAGACCTTGTGCTGTGCTCACATGTGAGGATCTTGAGCAGTCAATATTGGCCGAAGTTGAAGACAGATGTTCTGTCATGCAGTCTTTGCAGGACACTTTGATTGCTGTTGATGCTAAATCTGAAGAGCATAGAGATGTGGTGAATGATCATGCATCACATCATCTTCTCTCTCTCTTACTGAGGGGAGAAAATTCTAAGGAGTCATTAGAGCCACCTAGGGTAGATGTTATTGGAAGCCATGATATGCTTGCTTGTTCTGACGTAGAATCTAGTACCCACTTTCAGCTTACTAATAGTGCTGCTAGTAGTCTTTCTGAAACAGAACAAGGGTCAGAAAAACGCTTGACTCTTGAAGCTTTGTTTGGGGCAGCATTTATGAATGAGCTGCATTCAATGGAAGCTCCTATCTCAGCTCAGAAAACTTTAGTTGGTAGGGTTAATGATAGGAGTGCTAACCAGTCTCATGGTTTACCATTTTATCCTCCGGATAGCCTTACTACAACATCCAATGAGTTACATTCAAAGAAAGCTGTGTTTGAAGGAGAAATGTTGCAATCGAACAGCTCCGCCGAACATGCAAGAGCTCAAAAGAGTAGAGAAAATTGGACTGATTACAGGGATTCTCCTTTACATGGCTTTAAGCTAGGTGATTTGACTTTTGAACAGTCTGCTGGAGATATTCATTTGCCTGAAGAGGACAGTTTGATTTCTCTCAATGATTCTTTAGATGCTGTGGCCTCTGATTCTTTGTGTTTTCAACAAGTCAATAGAAATGATTCACTTGTACCTGAAAAGACGGTTGGAGATCTCAGTAATAAGTTACTTCATACTATTCTTAGAGTTGGAGAGCCCTCAAGGGAACCTGCTGTGGATTATCCTTCTTTTATTCAGGTTTCTCGTGAAATGGGTGACCCTGATGGCGATTATCATCATCTGCATGTCAGGCCACCATTACAGTTTTCTCATCAGATGAATCATGGAAAGCCTTTGTCTGCCGCTCATTTGGATCATCCCACACTTAGAAATTCTCAGATGAATTTTATTAGTCCGGATGTCATGTATCATGATCCTCATCATCCTTTTGTGCAAAATGTATTTACTCACAATAATTACAATAGCAATAGTGGTCCCCAATTGGATCCAACCACTCGTCATCATATGCTATCGCCCATACCATTTCCAGGAAATTTCCCACCACATAATTCAGTCCAAGGATTGCCACGGGTATCACACCCAATAAATCACCTTCCTGGTTTTTCACATGAGATGAACAACGTACATGTCTTTCCACAGCAACACCAGCAACCTAACTATGGAGACCGGGGAATGGGAATGCCTGGTAAAGTTCTAAACTGTTTGATTTCAGAAGCATGCTTATTTATTTATTTTTTTATTGTTATGGTTTTGATAGAGTTGAAGGATGCCACTTGTTAACCTTTGGAAACCACATTTTTTGTTGGTTATCTTCAAAACCATCAAGCGTTAATACAATAATCTGATTTCGGGACATGTAACTTAGGTTTATGTTTGTATCTGATTTCTACAGCGCCCAGCCCTAACACATAATGATGTTTGTGGCCCCCAAATATGTCAATCTATTGAGTTTTACATCTAAATTGATGGGTATGCATTGCAGTTCTTCAGCGCCTGCTTTTTTATCCTGGTTATTAGTATTTTAATTAAGCAAGCAGACAATTTTTGTCACCATTATCTTCTTTAGATCACTTAACTATATGTGCTTGGTCTTACAAATCATCTTGTAATTACTTAGATTGTGTGTTGTTTTATTAGGTGTTAATTATATTGTGCAAACTTCCATGTGCATTGACTGAGATGAAAAACCTACATTTACTTGGTTTTCACAGTAGATGACCAACCTACTACATGTGCATCATTTTTTACACACTTGGGTATGATTTGGCTGCTTAACATTTGAATCCAAATAGCTACCTGATCTAATTCTACTTGTATAAAATTTGTGTTCAAGTTTGTGTGATATTCTGCATTTGTTTGTATATATATATATATATATATATAAACTAATTATTAGAGTTCTTGAATTTATCTCACCTGTAATTTAACATTCCAGGAATATTGACTGCTGCTTAAAAATATTACCTTCTTGGCTCTGTTTTCTGGATGCTCTCAATCTCAAGTTTCTGCATATGAAGCATGTCTAAAAATCATAATTCCTAATGATGAGGCACTTATTCCGTGTGGTTGCTTTTTATCCTCTTTATATATATATTTTTGCAGGACATGGTGGTGGTGGTGCTGCTGGGAGACGATCCCAAGAGGCATTGGAAAGGCTGATGGAAATGGAGATGAGAGCTAACGCAAAACAGTTCCGTCCTTCCATGGCCGAGCATGTTCCTGGAATGTATGGCGCTGACTTGGACATGAACTTACAGTACATGCGATGAAATCTGATGCCTGGAGCTTTCTTTCATATTCAAGATGATACTTCTTTTTTACTGCACTGAGACTATTCTTATAAGATAAAGAAAAAAATGTGAGTTGTAAACAGTTTTTAGGAAAAGGGTATTATGCAGGTAGATATATTAGAAGTAGAGGCGGTGAAAATGTTGAAATGGAGTTGCTGTGATTGTCACTTAAAAGACCTTTATCATTTGCAAGTTCTACGCATGCAATGCATGATATCTTTCTCGGTTTTATGAGATTTTTATCGTTAAGCAAATGCGATTTCTTTCATTGAAACCCCCGTTTTTTAATGTTGTTTATAGAATTCTTCTTTCCCCAGGCCATGCGCAATAGAAATTTTCATCCTGAAAAATCACATTAAGGCTTCGTTTGGGACGGTTTTTTTACTGCTTTCTAAAACAGAGTTTTAGTACAAAATTTTTTATTTTTGTATTAAAACTTCGTTTTAGAAAGCAATGAAAAAGCCGTCCCAAACAAAGCCTAAGTTTCCCTCCTGAAAACCATGACGATAGATGTTTGCTGTTATGAAGTTTTGTTCTTGTTAATTTGCTTAATTTTATGATCTCTTGTGACATTTGGTGTTTTCATTTATTTTGACGAATTATATTTGTGGCTTCTGTTTTAAGTGGTTGTTTGGTCTTATTTTATTATTATTATTATTATTATTATTATATGAAAATATTGGATTAGCTCCAATGACAAATAAGTTTATTACTAAGAGTTGACTCAAATGATTTGGACACAAAGTATAGATTTTTTGATGACCCGGTTAGAGGAGTAAATATATTAGATTTGATCTATGCTAAGAAAAATGGAGGTAGATGTAAAAAGATTTAATTATAAAAGAGTAACAATAATTTTTTTAGTAGGTTTTTTTTTTTTGGAACTTTTGGGGCATAAACCCATATATTAAGAAGAAAGAAAATTACAAGTAAAAGGAATTATAAGTAAAGAGCCCTTGATAAGCCAAAAACGAACTAAAAGGGCCAAAAGAAGAAATAAAACCCCAACTATACCACCAATTACAAAAATTTGTCAATTAACATAACCAAAAATTGTGGTAGAAGTATCAAAACAAACAGGGAGACCAGCTGTAGAGAGAAACGAAGGCGGAAGGAGTCTGATCCGCCACCAGGAGAAGATCCAAAGCCTGCAGCCAAGAAAACAACCCAGCTCCCAAGCCTAACAGAACTGGACTCAAAATAATGAATAGGCACTATATGAAAAGTGGTACCCTGGTTGCCCGAAGACCGTCCAAGGGCCCTGCTAATGGGAGCGTCATCATCGTCCAGTTCAGGCTTAGCAGGTAAAGCAAAGGGACGGAGGGGCTCGGAATTGTCGCAACAGTGGTGACTTCTCAGCAAAAGGAACCATGAACCACCCTTCAAAATAAGATTCAAATCCAGGAAGCTGTTAAAACAATTCATGTATATCCAAAAACAAAGCAGGCCGCAATGCCCACCAACCCCACAAACAAGGGTAGGGAGGCAACAAGTATTAACCAAAAATGCCAAAACGCTCATTGAGATCATCAAATTGTTTCCAGGATTTCACTTTAGCAAAAACAGCTCTACGGATAATGCTACAGAGCTGAGTGGGGCTGTTCCAGACATTTTCAAATTTTCTAGAATTCCTTTCTTTCCATAAGTAGTAAATAGAGCTGCAAATGGTCAAATAGCAAAAATTCTTCTCCCAACTATTGTAACTTTGAGAATCATCAATAAATTCAAACGCCTGCTACAAGTTAGGCCTCAGGAGGAAGACATCCAGATTTGGTAGCAGGGAAACAATTACTGAATATGAGTAGTCACACGCAAAAAACATGTGAGAATGATTTTCCCACCCATCCGAACAAAAAACACAATTGGGAAGAACATTAATCCCTCTCAAAATAAGTAAATCAGCCATTTTTAGCTTGCCCAACAACGCCATCCAAGTGTATGAGGAAAAACGGAGGGATTTCCTTTTATGCCATATGTACTTGTGCCAACTAACCTCCTCAATGTTAGAGAAATAACTGGAATAAAAGCTAGAGAAAGACGTTTTATCAGAGCCTTCCCAAAACACCACGGAATGCTCATCAATATTGATACCAGAAATCTCATTCCTTAATGTAAAAGGCGTATTGGGAGGAAGAGACCAGCAGTTGTTGGAAGAGTAAAAGTTCACAAAAGAATTCATGAACCTAAAGGATGACAAAATGTCATGAAGAGATCTCCCACTACACCAATGATCCCACTCCATTGAAAAATTACAATTGTAAGAGACAGAGAAGGAGAATATATCTTTCACCAACAGGGCCGTGGCATAAATTTTCTTCCAGAATTTAGAAGCAGTAGAGCTAAGCGGCTTCCAAGGAGATATATATTTGTTCCTAAACCAAGCAGTAGTTAAGTTATCCCTACTAAAAAACCTCCACAAGAAAGAGCAAAAGTTGGCATGATACAGTGCTTCAATGGAGGGGATACTCAGGCCACCCAATCTGGTAGGTAAAGCAGTTTTACCCCAGGCAATTAAGTGGAGTTTTCTCTCATTAATCCTGCCATGAAATAAGAATCTGGAGCAAAGCTTGGCAAAGAGTTTGCAGCAATGTTTGGGTATGATAGAGCCCCTTATCCAATACGCAAGGGTGTTAGCAATCGTGAACTTAATGAATTGAAGTCTACCTGCAAAAGACAGAAATTTAACTTTCCAACCATCCAGTAGAGTAAAAATTTTGCTCGCGAGTGGTTGGAAGTGAGTAGAATTGAGGCGACAAGAAGCAATAGGAATTCCAAGGTAAGTGATGAAAGAGCTCATATTGGAGATGCCAAGAAGCTGACAAATAGAATTAATGTCAGAAACATCATGAGAGAATATTATAGAGCTCTTAGAAGGATTTATGAAAAGGCAGAGGCATTAGAAAAGGTAGAAATAGCATTGGCAAGGGAAATGGCATTAGAAGATGAAGCTTTACCAAATACCAAAACATCGTCTGCGTAAAGAAGGTGAGACACAGAAAGGGTCTTCAGCGATACCCCAAGAAAAGGGGGAGTAGCGTTCTCCAAGCTGCATGAGAAACCATCCATAACAATGCATAAAAGGAGGGGTGATAATGGACAACCTTGCCTCAAGCCTGATGAGGAGCTGAAAAAACCGTGCAAAGAGCCATTGATACAAATGGAGAAGAAAACATTAGAAATGCAACCTTTAACCCATTTAATGAACTGCTCCGGGAAACCTTTCTGCCTAAGCCTTTGGAAAAGAAAATCATGAGAGACAGAGTCAAAGGCTTTCCGAATATCCAATTTAGCACAAAAAAAATTATTGAATCCTTTAAGCATTTCAGAAGCTAGAAGGATGTTATCAGTGGAGCAACGATCCTTGATGAATCCAGTTTGGCTATTATGAATGATGCAAGAAAGAACCCCTTTTAATCTGTTTGCCACCAGCTTAGCCATAATCTTATACAAAACGTTACACAGAGAAATCGGTCTATAATCAGAGATAGCAGAAACATGTGGTCCTTTGGGGATTAAAACCAGAGCCGTGGCTTTAACACTTCTAGGTAGAATACCGGTATTATAAAATTCCAAAACTGCTCTGTAAATCTGAGGCCCGGTAATGTGCCACATTTTTTTGTAGAAGGCAAAATGAGGATTTGACTCTTAATATGATATAATCATGAAAAAAAAAAAAGATTTATGTAGTTGATCTTACTTAGTGGGATAAAAATTTGATGTTATTGTTGTTGATATGAAATAAAAGTTTATTTGATATGGTCAATATATGGTATTTTTATTTTTATTTTTATTGTTGAGTACTTAATGGTTTGGAGAGGGAGGTATCGTTGCGAGTGAAGATGCCTTTGGCTCCAAGGTGGGTTTGGTGGTGTTAGAAGGGTTGCCTGAGGCAAGTATGGGACTGGTTGTGGTGTGTTAGGTTGGGTATATTTAAAGTATATTTAAATTATTAATTTAAAGTATATTTAAAGTATATTTAAAGTATATTTAAATTTAATATGATTTATAGTTAAAAATAAAAAAAGATAATTATAAATTTTATTTAAATATAATTATTCCACAATTCAAAAATAAAAGAAATAAAAATATTAATTGGTGTCAAATAGATATTGATTTTGATTTTTGCCACTTGACATTTATTTGAGAAAGATGAGAGCCTCAATATTTTAACTTTTTTTTTAGAAAAAAAGATATTTACACAAGTTAATAAAAGATTTGTAAGAACAAATATAACCTTAGAACTCGTTTTGTAAAAGATAAAATAATTAAAAAAAAAATGAAAGGTTACATAACTTGTGACATTCAAAATCAGAAATGTAAACAATAATTCAGTTTAGAGCGAATAGTATTTGTTTATATATATTTAAATTAGATTCTCATTGACCAATTGCAAGAGCTAAAGAGGGCTGGATCAAAAGTTAATGTTTTTCTAGAATGTGATTTGGAGAGGTCGGTCAAATTCATATGAAGCTAAGGGAACATAAATAAAAAATCATGATTTGAGAAAAATTTAAGTATTAAATAAATAGGATTTTAATTAGGCTCGACAATTGTACACCCATGAATACCTGTGCAGATACCAGTTCGTAAGTATCTTGTTAGTTTCGTTCAGGTCGAGTGATGGATGGATGCACTCCACCCGTGGAGCTATTCATTCGAAAGATTCACTCAAGAGATGAAAGGATATTAAGAAAGGAACCTAGTTGACCACGATCAGTTATTGCCTCCAGGCTGTTTTCTCCTTAGAGGAGAGTAGCCTTAGAAGTTCTTGACTAAGCTAGACAATCCTTTATCTATTTAAGCCAAAACACAAATCCCTATATACTCGCTACATCTCAGGACAACATAGACACCACACTCGCCACTCAGAGACTCCACTCGCACAAACGCTCTAAGGTCATCTTTAGACATTACATGCATTTACAATTCAAAAATGTGACTCGATCTGTCATCCCCCATCCATAAGTAGCTAAGTGAAAACTTTCCTCTCATCACTTCGACGGGGCGACTCCGCAACGATCATTTCACCTTATGCAGCTCACACTAATTAAAAGTCAACCAACCCAACAACAATGAGGTATCAACACATATTGATGAGACATGTACATACAAAGACTTGACTTTTGTTTCTTTCCAAACCCTATAAAAGGGGAGAGGAGGGAAAGTGGAGAAGATTCTAACCTTCGAACCCTGATCCCCATATTAAAATTCCAACACCAAGATCCCTTTTGGCCCTAAATAAATAAACACTTT